CACACACACACACACACACACACACACACACACAAACACACATGATTCAAGGAAGAGGGGAAAAACATTCAGGCCTGTTTTGTCTGACTAGAGAACTTATCTTCTCTAAGCCCTTTCCCTGAGTCCCAACTGCTCTGTTCTCAACTCCTCCACCTCTTTCACAATTTCCAGGGGCACTGTGACCCGTGTTCCTTTCCTCTCCATTGCATTTTCTTCCTGGACTAAACTCAAAGCCAGAGGAGAATAGAAGCACCTCCTAACAGGTGGTGCCAGATCCTAGAAGAGCATATTATCACTTGGCTCTATCAAGTTATTTCTCCCTGACAAAGCACCTTCCATTGTTTGCTTACAGGTTGCACAGAGTCCAGGAGCTTGGTGAGCTGGTAGAAGCGTCTTGAGCAGGATGTGGGATTTTTTCTCTTGCAAGCAATGATACGATCAAGTTCCTTGATGTAATTCATTCGAAGTTCATCAAAGAATTTTTGATTTTTCAGCCCATCCACTGGAACTGATGTGGGATGAAAACAGAATGGGGAGGGAAGGCATGCCCACAAAGGAGCATTAGACAAAGCACCAAGTTTTCTGACAACAAACTTGACCCCCACCTGCACAGGGAGGGAACCATCTACTTGGTTTCCTGTCAGTTGAAGTCTGTATGCCTGGGTCCTTCAGGCTGCCAGCAAGTTCACAGAGAAAAAGCTAGCTGGACCCAATCTGAAAGGCATCAAGTAAATACAATTTACTAAGCCTTTCATTTTTCTGGTCTTCTCATCTACACATTTCTTATGACCTGTGGTTTTTATGTTGTCACAGTCCAGCCCTGACTTAGACAATTAAAATATATAGCTTTTAATATCAAAATTTGCCTCCTTTTCCTGTCACAGGTGCCAAGACAGCATTCTGAAGAGACATTAAAGAAAGATTACTTGGCTGCCTAATAAATCCTATCTGAGTTGCTTACATAGATCTCCTACTATTGCTCTGCAATAAATATTAGGTGGTTCTTGCCTGTTTCTATGGTAGAAGCTATGGCAAAGTTCAGAGACCTGCTACAGCCAGCTCCAAAAGCCTTGTTCCAGAGAAAGACTGGAGATAGGTGGGGATCTAATAGAGGTTGAGTTCTAGCAAAGATGACTTCCTTTGCTAAGGGAGAGGGGAAGAGGGAGGGTGAATAAAGAAGGAAAATGCCTAGGAGCTGGCTTCTCTCTGATAAATCTTTAGTGGAAAAAGTAGCTCCCTTCTTAGTCCCTATGGCACCAGGAGCATTTTTTGTCTCTCCGAGCACTTACTAATGCTGAATAGCAGCAGTGCCTTCATGCACAAAAATTCCTGGGGGGTGATTTGGAGCCATCCAAATTCTTGAGAGAGGTGCCTCATTCGTACACACTGGCTGTACATCCGGGACTTGTGCATGCGGTACCTGGGGATAAGACATACAGAGAAAGGAAGGGACTAAGGGAGGGCTTAACAATAAGCTTTGGTTGCCGTCCCCAACCCAGGTTCTCTAAAAAGAGCTCACTGTTTCTCTTGCTGGTGCTTTATTGATAAGGAACAAGCTTGTTCTTTTTTTCTTCCAAAATCCTGACATCCTGATAACTACTCATCTTCCCTGCCCAGGATATGGGTTAGCACATGGAATTTCCAGGTCTCTGTGCCCCTCCTGTTTCCTGGGACAGAGACAGGAAAGCCTAACCAAATGAACACAATGTGCCAAGCACATGGTCTCCCTGACTACAGTTCTAATATTCCAGCTACAGCCAGAGCCAGAACTTGCCTCCCAGGCATCCCAACTTGGAGAATTTCTAGGAGATAAGCTTTAGGAATCAACTCCTAACATAAGGACACCAGGATTCCCAAGTGACCATAGTAGTTTATCCTGTCAATTCCCCTGTCTCTTGGTGTAAATGACATTTCCCTTTATAGAAATTTCATCACTTAAAATAAAACAGGAAAGACTCCCCATATGCCTTCACAATGAGTTCCAATGCTTATCAAATCAGCAATGAAGAGTTTCTGAATGTCCAATCTAAATGTCCCCTGAAGGGGAGCCTATTCCTTCATATAATGGTTATTCCTTATCACAGTTTGGGAGTTATAAACACATGTGAGCTGCCTTTATTATAGTGGCTTGTCAACAGATCATCACATTATCACTTATAAATTATATAGGGAAGTGGCCAAGGCTTGAACAGTTTCTCGGGGCAGGGGGGCAGGCAACCTGTCTGTTTTATGACTGGCCATGGCAAGCCTCTAAGAAGATACAGCATCTTTCTGCTAGTTGGTCTTCCTGATTTTCAACATTTCAGAAATCATGTGTGTGTGTGTGTGTGTGTGTGTGTGTGTGTGTGTGTGTGTGTCTATATGGGAGACAGAGAGAGAGAGAGAGAGAGAGAGTGATTTTGTATCTTGTAAAGAAAGGAAATGGAAGTCCAACACCCACTTAAGTAGTGAGGAAAAAGACCCTGGATTGGGCTTGAAGGCTGTGGTTTGACATTTTGGTCCCCAAGACACTAGCCTTGTCCACAGGATAAACAGCCCTAGAACTGTTTAGGTAAAAGCCCAACACCCTATCTCAGAGAGATCTGAGCTGGCCTAGAGAAAAAGGGAAGGGGGCAGATGGTGTATTCATTTCAGGATGGATACCAGCTACAAAGAGGAAATGTTTAGATAGTATTTCAAGTAAACTGACCAAAGCAGTGTTGCTCCAAGGCCTTTCACACCCTAGAGAATTTTTTAAGATCTGTTGACACTGGGACCTAACCTTGCTCCAGTCTCTACTGTACTTCCAAGCCTCTGTTGACGATAACACTATAGTCTTTTTACCACTAAAATTATGGTCCTAATGTGGAGGATTGATGCAACACTGCTGCAAACCCCAAGGACAGAGAAATGTGGGGAAAAGAGAGAAGAAAAGGGGAAAGGCAAGGGAAGGAATTCAGAGGGGAAGGTGGCAAGAAGGATAAAGGACAAAATGAGTAGGGAAAGAGTTAATGGGAAGGAAAGGGAGAAGAGTGTGGAAGGCAGAAAAGGAATATTCAGGAAGAGGGCAGAGGTAGAGGAGAATAAACAACAGTGAATAAAAGAAGAGATGAAAATGGGAAAACACTGAGGACAGTGCTTGGCAAATAGTGTTCAATAAATGACATGTAAGAAGGTGCCATTATCATAGTATTCACCATTCTACAGATGAGAAGACTAAGGTTTAGAGAAGTTAAGTAATTTATTCAAGATCACACAGCTATGGTTCAAGCCCATCACCCTCACAACATGTGTTCTCCACAAAAAGGAGAGGAAGAAAGAAGAAAGCAGGGCTTATGACAGGTTTTGGTGTCAGAGAGATCAGGAAATGGGTTGGCTCAGAGTTCCTGTCTTTCTTTATGGACTTCATTCTCCATATTAGTTTCTTGAAGAGGCTAGCAATAATTAGTGGCTTTAAACTGGAGGGTACTGTCTCCCTACTGGGTGCTAGATGTATATGTGGTAAATTTGGGTTGTTACTGACATCTTCTTTGGTATTTGGTAGGCAGGTATGAGGGATGTTAAACATAAGCATATTCAAACATGCAAGAACATCCTACACAACGAAAAATTATTCCTCTGAAAATGTCAACAGTATACCTGTTGAGAAACATTGGTTTAGATGTTTAAAGAGACTCTAAAAGCTCTAACATAGGGCTTCCTACATGAGGAATGGGGGCCCTGTTGTTTCAGGAGCCCTGGGTCTTGATGGGCCTAGGACTCTGCCCCTGTGGTGCCTTCTGAAAAAATACATGGGAGTGGGCCAGCGAGCTGAGAAGGGGTGCCGCATTACTTACACAGAGGCAGAAAAGGAAATGAGGATTTAGAAAACAACAATTATCACCTTGCAAAGGTTTAAGGGCTCTAGATGAGGTGGGTGGTACAGGAGCCCAGGGTATTAATTCAATCACTAGAGGGCAGCAGGAGGGTAGGGGTTAGAGTTAAACAGGAAGAGAGCTTTTAAAGGTCTGCCCCTGAAGATGGCATCATAGGTAACTCTTTCCAGATCTGGAAACCTCTAAACAGGTTGTGCCAAAAGCCCAATGGTTATTCTTAGCTTCTGGCTACCAGGGTTTGCTGGGTTGGAAGAGGGCAGCTGGGGATACTCATTTTGCCCCATAAGGCCTTGCTGTACTGGAAGGAACCAGTAGCCTGTACATTTTATTTTAAGGCTCTTCTGGGTTAGAGGGCTGGAGAGGAAGGAAGGTCAACTCCTACCCTGACCAAAAGGATTCTCTGTGGTGAAACTAGCTCAAGGTACTTGGGAAGGCTTTTT